AATATCCACTACACCATATCGTTACGTGGGTGTCGTAAGAGGCGACAGAGGGAAACCAACCAGGAGATAGGCAGCAGCGTCTTCCCAATAACATCTAAAAATACAACTGTGGTCGCCACTATAACTATAAGGCAATCTATGGGAGAGGTCTACGTTCATCAGTGGACCTTTAATAGGCTGTAATGGATGGTTGGATGGATATGTACTTCGAAAAAAGGATTTAATCAAATCGTCTGTATTTCCTTGTTTTATAATACCTACCTATGATCTCTTAATTGTTGCTAATATATTCATTTAATGAGTATCCTTTCACCGTGGTCCCACAGTATATGCACATTATACGTACCTATATTTCTACCAATGTATATAATATACCTACGTTAATTGAAGCCGGTAAATATTTTTTTAAATAATATAATCAAGTTATTAAGGTACATTGAAGTATAATGTACATAGTCTGTGATAAGTATTATATCAATGTTTAGATATGAAAATTTTATTAGTAACTCTACTGTTATTGCTCTACAATTTAACCCAAATTTATTTTGAATTAATTGATTTATTAATCGCGTTAAACATATACCGTAAATTGTTATTATACATTTACGGAGCTATAAAATTATTAATTGATATAATTTCAGAAGTGTACACAAATTAAATCTTTAAACCAACTTATTTTATTATAGTGTTATATAACTGACACAGATAATAAACTATTTGTTACTAATTAATGAAATTATTAATTGATATAATTTCACAAAATAGTTATTTTAACCAACTTAATTTGTTATAGTGTTATACAACTGACACAGATAAACTATTTATAACGAATTCACTAAAAAAGCTAACTAGTAAATATAACAAAAGAAATAGAAACGCCGCATCATACCCACGGCAATAGGCGTGGTCTCTAACGACCAATAAAACTATGCTAGTTGTTAGGTACAGCGCACATTGTGAGTACTGTGACCCGGTGACACGGAAAAAACTGTTTATTGCCTTTTTAGGAGTAAAATTGCGACGGGTGTTTCATCACGTAGACAAGTCTAGATTTTTCCTAGATAATAACGTCAAGAAAAACGTTAATGGGAAAAATACATTCTGTCCATAGTTTCTTAGGTATACGCAATGAACAACCGCTGTAGTTACATCAAGTATCTGAATCAAGAATTTTTTTGATAACAAGTGGTAAAATAAAAATTTTGTACAACCGACTTCAATATAAATAAAATGAGAACATCATCAATGTAGCGGAAGTCAATTAAATACACATTATTAAGGATAACTCCAAAACTACAGATCAGATTTAGAAATTATATGGGATCACATGAGAAGCACCAGATTTCAAATAAAAAAGGAATTATCAAATTCGGTTCACCTAGAAAAAAAATCTGAAGTAACACACAAAAAATACAGTCGAATTGAGAACCTTCTCCTTTTTTGAAGTCGGTTGAAAAAATCGATATGCATCAATGGACCTCTCCCATATCTTTTTATGGTATAAGGGTGACAAACGAACACTCAATCCACCTGAAGGTAAGTAAAGCTATGCCCTAATAAAATAAATAAAAAGGTTCTCCGGTTCACTCACCTTCCGAAATACAACAGCATTAAGCTGCAATTCCACGCTGGTATTGTGTGAGAGCGTGGTCCTTGTCAGGTCGAGCCGACCCATTTGTGCTACAACACAGAAGCGTTACAGAGTTGCAGCGTTGTTCTACCTCGTTGAAAAGTATAGCAGGGAGGATTTGGTATAATTGGATACGTTTAACATGCGGATTGGCGATATGAGAAGACTCGCGCCTTTGGCTTTATTCTCCTTCGCCGGTCAGGGAACTTTATATTTGGTTTATTCCCATACGCCACCACACAATATAGAAAATACATAATAAGCAACCCATGGTCACGGGGGGACTGAGATGTTTGCCGTCCCGATGTCACGATCTTGAAGTCTTGCAGTGGTATGCTTGGGTTTGTATTTAATTTTGTTAATTATATGATCCCAAGCAGATGGCAGCACCCATCCATCTTCTCTATTAAAATTAGGATGTTTTTTAATTTCAATAGCCTTACTTATCATCCTTGGTAGGAATCGGTGTTCTTTTGCGAGAATTTGTGGTCTATCAAATCTGATGTAATGGCGGGGACGATCTTGAACATGTTCACAGACTGCAGACTTCCCAGAGCGTCGGTGCTCTGGTGGGATCCTATAATTAACAAAATTAAATCCAAACCCGAGCATACCACTGCAAGACTTCAAGATACTGTAAGTTCGTTCTGCGTAAATCGAACCAAAAATTAATATTAAATGTGGAGGTAGCCGGGCTAACTGTGACATCGGGACGTCAAACATCTCAGTCCCCCCCCCGTGACCATGGGTTACTGTAAAGCACCTAAAACGTCGGAAATTAAAATAGTAAGTTAAACCTGATAAAATCTGTAAAAAATAATTTTATTCAATTAGCAATATTACATTTTATATAACACTTTATAAGGTACAAATAATGCCTTAGAGTCAATTGACGATTGAAATCTAGAGGCAACGTTCCTGCCGCTATTTGCCGAAAATTGATTCTGGCAGTTTATTTGGATAACATACCTGCTCTAATTCTTGATTCTTTTTAACTGATCAAATTAATATATTTCCTACGAGAGTAAGGCGTACAAACGTCCCGGGTTCGAAACAGCCCAAAATGCCAGTTTTAACAATTTATTTAATAATAAAAATAATATTTAATTAACTCAGACCAAAATAGTATAAAATGAATAATAGTATAAAATGAATTTTAAACAGTGGTAGAGCCACGCGCAGCTTTCGCTGTCGCACGGATGGGCCGGCTCGATCCGGGGTGGTACCACGACCTCACAGAATACCAGCGTGAAGTAGAGGTTTACCTCTGCGTTTCGCTTGGTGAGTGCAGGTGGCCGGAGGCCCTTTTTACTGGAAATGAGGCATTCCATCTTAGTCCTCACGGGTGACAACGCATCTGCATTTTGATTCGCAAGCGAGGATAGATGTAGATGTCTATGGGCCGCAGCAACCACTTACCATCAGGTGGACTGTGTGCTCGTTTGTCACCCTAATCTTATAAAAAAAAAAAAATATTGTCCCGGATGTCACGCATTTACTACCAAATCATTAAGTTAACATTTATATTTTTAATTAAACATTTAACATCAGAAAATGGTCCGGAGTAGCATAGAATGCCTCGGGTACGCGCATTTACAGATGTAGTAGGCTACATTGTATATCCAGGGTTAATACCTAATTTGAAAACTCACGAAAGATCCCAATAAAGTCGCAATCATGTTAACGGCTTGTTTGCAACACAGTCTATATATTTATACTGTGTTTGCGATGTGGCAATGGCTTTTTTATTGGTCTAAGTAGTAATGGCTTTTTGCCGCATCTCTACTGAAGGACAACGTCTACGGCAACGCAGGTTGAGGGTTCGATTCTAGCGAATTCTCGCGTTTTGAGCCGTGCGAGCTAATCGAGTAATTTGCTGCAGCGATATTGCTTGCAAATATGTATTCCATTTTTTTTTTGTATTTGAATATTCGATTGCTCACCCTAGGTAGGTACTATTATTTATTCTGTGACCCTAGGCAGCGGCTATCGAAGCGCCAATTTTTAAACGTATTTTTAATAAAATCATTTATTTAATCGCAAAAGAGAACTACTGGACTTAAAGTATTATAATCGATTTTTTTGAATTTTATCACAGTATACAACACAAAATAATTAAGTATTTTAGTCGGTTTAATAGGAATTTCATCCGTTTACTGTTTTCATAAGTAATATTCCTGATAAATAGCTCACTATTATATTTTGAGTTCACTCGCTTATTAATGTTAGCTAACTATTTTGGTGAACTTCACATAAATATTACTCGAAAGTGTGAAGGTATTAAAATAATCACGATATATCGTTGAAGTTAATTGTAAACGTATACCTAAATTAAATAATAAGTTTAATAAATATTTTAGACAGTTATTATAAGAATAAAGATCGAGAGATAAAAAATTAGTTCAATTAGCTACCTCAGTTTAAATTAGCCTAAGGGAATATTATTATAATAATTCACGAACTTCCAGGGCTCGGGGCGCTCCGGAAGCCAGCTCATGAATATGTTTATCACTTGCCAACGCTTATCGAAAGGCAAGGCAGCTGCCGTTAATTGTGAAGATTTAAATTTGCATATGCGAATGGACCCTTATCACGCGAGTCTCAAACTACAGTCCTTAATATGACTTAAACATTGTAATTCTTAAATAATAATATTTTAGCAACTAAATCGAAATGAATTAAAAAAAAAATATAAAACGTAGTTATATCCTACATTGTTATTATTATTTATTTTGTTATGTATGTATAAATTTGTTAAAGTTCGGTTCATACTTACATCACTTGATATAACCCAATTAGTAGGTGCTCTTTGCCAATAGTATGTCAGCGGCATAACATACTTGATAAGAAACCGCATAGCGTTCGAATCTTCTTCGAAGTTTTTACATGGCTACGGGCACGTGTTCGCGACATTCAGCCAGAAGACGGGAGACGGCTGTTTTCTGTGTATTTTCTGCTTGGCTGGAGCGGCAGGCGGCGGGCGGGGCGCGACGGGGCCGACAGATGCGCCGCGCAGCGCCATCTCTCGGCGGCCGAGCGGCCGCCAGGTGCGCCGGCCGCGCCGGGACCGCCACCCGCCCTCAGTTCGCCGTCACGCACCGTCGCGATTACACGTCGTTACGGCTGCTACACGCCAGCCGCACGCGACGCGCGCGTTTCAAACGTAGTGCACGATACCTCGCGACCGGTTCCCGTAGCCGATGAGCGCGACCAGTGACATCTCAATATTTGTGCTGTGTGACTTGTAGTGAAACGCTCAGTGCATCGACATGTGCGAGTGATGGATTACTGCGGATCTGTCTCCGTCGAGTGCTGACGGGCTTTGGTCCCGACGTATATGCTCCGGCGCCGCTAGCCCGGACGCGCCACTATGCGCGCCCCCGCGGTGCTCATCGCCCTGCTAGGGTTTCTACCCCAGGTACTGATACCGACACCGAAAACCGCGAATCCCTGTTTGTTTACATTTCACACCGGAATGGGCTTCGTTCGACTCGCGAATCAAACGCGTCGAGTCAGCGGCCGCGGGCTCGAGGCCATTCCGGCGGCACGACCGTCACTTTCCCACGAGTGTACCGGGTCCGGCGAACGGGCTCCTAGATCGTCCTGGATAGTCGGGAGCGAGGGTTTAGGCTAGGCCCGCAAGTCGTGACCGGGCCCGGCCCCGAGCGCCGGTGTGTGCCCGATACGTTTACCAAGCAAACAGTGAACTGCATAGTTATAAAGAAAGTTCAGGTTTTAATACGGCCGGCGCGCGGGGTCAGCTAGGTCGCGAGGCTCTTCGTTTAAAATTAGATGCATTCCGAGGCTTCGCGATGAAGTCGATGTCCAAAAGAAGTAATCCGCATGCAACGACGGGAATAGCTTTCAGACGAGTCGAGTTCATCTCGCCGCATGATATTTTGGGCAGGGTTAGTAGTTCGATCTAGTTTACATTAGTACATAAGTACCTATATACATTTATTTAAAGCTGTGCTAAACTGTATAATTAGTATAAAACCTTATATCTCACCTTTTAAAATTATTGTTAAAAAGGTACATATTAAAATGTAGTAGTTGATTACAAAATAAAATTATATTTGATAATCGGGGGTCGTCGCCCCACCACGCGGTCAAGGTTATCCGTATTACAATAATATGAGGGATGCTTTTCTGAACACCGATTTAGGTATTGCTTATATAACTTAATTGTAACATACTGATGATATATACATTTGCAATAAAATATCAAGTCAATGTTTGTCAAAAATATTTATTTTGTCTTTACATTATATAACGTTATTAAAGCAAAATTATTTCAATTAAATAAATATTGATCATATTATTAAACAATTACAATTGTTTTTTTTTATCACAAAATCATTATTTTTCTGCTACCCTTAAGTAAGTTAATACAAACTCTAAGTTGATAATAAGTTTAACGCAAATTTAACACTTCTATTTACCGATATACACGGCAACGCTATTGTTTATTTATATTAACGTCTCAAAGCGACTAGAAACGCTCAGCGTGAATCATCTTAACATATAAATCTACTATCTGATATTTCTTCCTCTTTGATACCTATTCTCCAAAATGATTAAACATTCTGTAGTGCATATTGATAAACTTGTAACAGTCTATCACTAGCCCTACCGAAATGTTAGCGAGACCCCCTATGAAAATCGATTCTCTCGCCAGTTGACTTTTTGTTCTCCCGCATCGTTCACTGGTCTCAATGGTAATTTGCTATGAGGGACCTAAAACGCACGCTGTGAGCGACTACTTTATTACGGACGCTAGTATACCGTTATTATTAAATACAATTAGCTTTGGTTCTTATATGTTATTAACTAACGTCGCATGTGTGAGTGGTAACCGGCTTAAAGCGATCTTGAACCTATCCGTGTGATTTTTGTGCACTTTTCATTGTCGTGCCAACATTTATTAGTTTTTTCCGCAGCGAGACGGGTTGAGTTGCAATTATTGAGGATGTCGATTTATTAATGACGGGTTATTAATCTGTCGATATTGTTAACGTTGTCCTTACCATTATTTTCATGTATTATTTGAAAATATTATTAAGGGACGATTTTCAATCGTCAGATATCAGTTATTATGCATCGAATAAATTATAACCTGACTGAATATAAAAGTGAAACAATTGAACTACTTTGTTCATGCAACTGTAATTTTAAATTTGTTTATGTTGTATTTAATCATATGAATACATTTTGATTGAGAATTGTAAAATTGGCAGTAAGAACAGCATAAACAATTGCACTTCATTAATTTCGGATGAATTACCCGATTAAAACTATATCCGTGATTACAAAAAGTTGTTTCCACAGTTTAAATTCGCGAAACTAGTAAATAAGGGATGATTAAATGTTTCCCAATCATATCTTTTTGCTTGAACGAAACGCCTTTACTTGTATGTTGTAAGCTAAGTCATGCATGTGTAGGTGTAATGAGTAGTGTGAATTATTGTATAGATTTATAGACATTGCGAGTATATGTGTGTGCGTATGCGCGTGTGCGTGTGTGGTGTTTCAAGATACCATAATACATTATGAATGAAGACGCGCTGTTTTATAGAAGAAAAAAAAAACAAGATGTTCTACCACTGCGCGACGGGTTTGTCTTGCCCCCGGTGCTGACGGGCGCGCATTGATGTAATTGTCCATCTATTTATAAGGAACACATCCGGTGGAGATATTTTGCGTTTTTGTTTTTTCCTCTATTAGCCCTGTTAGTCTCAGGTTATCGCGTGATCGCGCTCTTGATCGGAAGCGGCTTCGGAAACACGTCAGTACAAAAACCGCAGACGAATAATATCCAATTTATTTATAATGCAGCTCGAAGGTTCACGTCCGTCACTAAGAAACTCAATAACTCCGATCGATAACGTTCTCATGAAACGCAATGAGCCTCAAATGGTTGTCTAGTATTTTTATAGCTTTTCAACATTACTGTATTTAATATCAGGATTGTTTATACGGCGCCTACCGCTGTCGCATATCTGGGACAAGCTTGTCATACAAGCGCAGAACTCAAATCCTCGGTTCGATTGCGTTACGTTCCTTGATATAATCGATAGGTTTATATTTCAACTAGTTTTTGCACGCCTTATACTTTAAAGTTGCTTTGGACTATCGAACAATATAATCCTGTACTTTTATTTATCACAGCTTATTGACATAGTTATACGAACTGATTACAAATAAATTTAATCCACTAGACATTTAAATAAAACTAGTTTCACGGATTTTATCGCTCGATTCTATCGCTAAGTCTGCAGTCTGTGGGCACGTACAGGATCGCCCCCGTCACTACATTAGATTTGATAGGCCACAAATCCTCGCTAAATAATACCGATTCCTTCCAAGGATGATTCGCGAAGCTATTGAAATCAAAAAACATCCTAATTTCAATAGAGAAGATGGCTGGGTGCTGCCATCTGCATGAGATCCTATAATTAATAAAATTAAATGCCAACCAAAGCATACAACTGCAAGACTTCAAAATACTGTATGTGCATACTGCGTAGATCGGAACAATAAATTAGTAATTTTAATCTGGAGGTAGCCGTGGTTAACTATGACATTAGGACGTCAAACACCTCAGTCCCCCCGTGATCATGGGAGCAGTAAAGTGTTCGAAACGTCGGGAATATAAAATAAATTAATATACCCGATAAAATCCGTAAAACTAATTTTATTTAAATGTGTAGTGTTCACGTAAATATAAGAAATCATTAATCCACTAGTTTCAATAACACATGTCCACGAAGACTTCTTTCTTATACTTAAATGTAAAATGTGTTTTAGCTCGTTGGCTCGCGCTTGCACGGTCTACACCGGTAAAGCGGCAGGTGTAGTTTTAATGGCAATTCTTAAAACCCTCAACATCTGCTTTTTTCATAATTTACTCGCGCACACGAATTCTAATTTCCTTCTCGATGATTTAAAATTAAATTTGAGTATCTCGAGTTCGTTACCACCGGTGCAACTAGTCGCTTTAATTGGTACTTTTATTGACGCAAACGCCATAATATTTACCGCTATGTGTGAACCTCAATGCTCATAGCGGCAAGTCTATGTAAATAAGACGTTATTTTTAGTTTTAATCCACACAATCCCATAATTTCATTTACATATTGTCATGTGTGAATCTCAAAGGGAAATTTTAACTTTTGTTCAAAAAAACACGTTGCATTTTCTCGGCGATTAGCTATTACGGTGACATCGTTGAGGCAATTTTTTGGTGATTTTCACAACGGCACAATAATAATTAATTGTCATATGTCATGTCCGTCGCAATCATTTAAGTATGTGAAACGATTTAACCCTGTTATAATTTCGTCCATTGTCCGTTGGTTTCGTTCTATGAGAACTGACTCAATTATGTGAACGCTGTACGAAATATGTACGTATAATCGTCGGGTTTTTAACTGCTTAACTATGTGAAACTTGTTGGTTTGGGCTTATTGTGAAGTATGTGTAATGGCTCGCTTGTGAATCAAGACCTGTCTTAAACTAAATACTTATACGTCCAAAATATGGTTCTATATGCAAGTCTAGTCTATTAAAAACGCAGTAGAATTATCCAAAAAACCTATTCAATGAGCCTAATAATAAGTATTTGCTTTTAAAACAATCAGCGTTATTTCGTCTTTAATACACCTCGTACGAGGCGTCTGAGATCTCCGTTATTTGACGAATGATGAATTCATTATGCCTCATAGACCGCAGCTTCAACGCCGCCTTTAAATGCACGTCGAACTCAATTATCCTTAATCACAGTCTTTCAATTTATATTATTTTCTTTTTAAACCAATTGGTCAATTCATTGGTTCCTGATACTGGTGACCGCGAAAAAAATTATGTCCGTCCGGATCATTGATCAGATTACGCAATGTCGCCAAACTGGATCCTCGGAGCAGTCAATATTATGCATTATTTATAAACATCGGCGATGCTTTATCTCACTTAGCTGAAATTATGGTTCATAATTATTGGACCAAGTAAATTAATTAACGAATTAAATTTAATATGTTCTGGTCCTTGCAAGACATTAAAATACTTAAGATTTTTCGTGTTTCAGTCAGTAACAGTCTTTATTTAAATTTTGATATTTTTTTTTATTTCGCGTATTAACCAGTAACTTAAATCTACCATTGTTCAGATGTCAGAGAACAAATTATAATATTGTATATTGCACAATACTCCCCAGGCATAGTGTAAAGATGAGTTCAGCTTCTTGTATGTGGGTTGAAAGTTAAGGCCGCTTGTCAGCAGATATGAATGTAAGATTCCTTAACTGTGAAGACTGATTATAACGCGTAGGAGTTATTTAGACAAATGAAAACAATTAAAAGCTCTGTTGAATACTAAAAGAGATTATGTAAGACTAAAATAAACAATTTAGCCTAATGAAAA